AAGGACTCTTTCTTCTGGTTCAGAAAATCCCAGTCAGCAAGTTGTTGGTCTGTAACCAGCTTCCCCAGCAATGGATGCAGCATCATGTGAGCATGAACATCTTATTGAGTATAGTGCAAGGTGATTGGCAGCTAACTCCAGACATTGAATTTAAATAATGAAATGTGAATGGCTATCTGGTTGGGGACGAGCCGTGTATTAAACTTAGTTTGTTGGTGCACAGATATGTCCATATCTCTTGGCACCTGATCCATCCAATCCACAGCATCCACATCCTGTAAAGGAAAACTTTCCCACTAACATCCCTGCTCTCTTGATGTCAGTACTTTTTTGTCAGTACTCTTAACTACTATTAGTTTATAAGGGGATGGTATGTCTGTGGGTGCAAAATACTGATAGTAGGTGTGTGTGTGTGTGTGGCTGCATTCCTTCTATCTGACCTGGCTTAACCTCCCTGAGTTTGATCTCTCTGGCCTGAATGTATTCTTCTTTCCCTTAAGATCAGCACAGCTCACACATTGTGTCTAGTGTCAATTATGAGCTATCAGCGCTTTCACAAAATTAAATATCCCAACACTTTGTAGTACAATAGTATACTGTGTGAATGTGCAACCCAGTGTCACGCACGGCAATTCGTGAAAGAGTCACGAAATTTAATCTATTGTTTCATATCCCGGGACCCGATCTGCCCAACTTTATGATAAAGCTTTTAATCGCCCAACGATAATAGGATATATTTCTTGTCCTTTCTGTTTAAATGGATACGGAGTTAATACGCAGCGCCGATGTTTACAGAATAGTAACATTGGTCAGTGTGGGCGCACACGTCTGTATAGTGATCTCTATAGTTATTAGTGTGGACGGGCCATCACAGTAAAATTGGTTAATGCCTGACTGTCGGAAGAAAAGTCCCAGACACTAAAGATAATTCCAATTGAAATATATTGGTTTGACATTCGTGCTGGAGAACACGAGAAAGTCGAGCAAATCGCGTCCCAGGACACGAAACAATAGATTCCATTTTGTGACTATTTCACGAATTTTCCGTTGCTTCTTTGTGGCATCAGTTCAAAAACAATAAGCGATAAAAACTATGTTAAGAGCATTCCACCTGCTTTGCATTGCACTACACTAATACAGTCAGACTCTCAGTGGACACTTTAAATAGCCACAATCCAAATATTTGCATAAC